TCTGGGCATAGCACCAGGTCCAGGTGTAGCACCAGGTCCAGGTGTAGCGCTCAGGCCCGGGTGTAGCACCAGGTCTGGGCATAGCACCAGGTCCAAGTGTAGCGCTCAGGCCCAGGTGTAGCACCAGGTCTGGGCATAGCACCAGGTCTGGGCATAGCACAAGGTCCAGATGTAGGACCAGGCCCAGGTGTAGCACCAGGTCCGGGTGTAGCGCTCAGGCCCAGGTGTGGGTGGAAGTCCTGCCCCCCAGGGCCTGCTGAAGCCACCCCTGCAAAAGCAAAGTACCGCCTCACGTTTGTAAAGTTTAACCGGCCAACGTGTCCTTTGAAGGACTGTTCAGTGCGGCTTTTCTTAAGGCTGTGTTTGTTGCGTAGCGACAAGAATGGTGAGATGGACCAGCAGCGGGAACAGTATGAAAAGCTGAAATGGAAGCTGGAGAGAAGGCTTCAGGAGCTCGACGGAGAACTCGCTCTGCAGAGGCAGGTAGGACGCGTGGGTGCGGGCGTCAGAGCCCTTCCTGGGGCTGCGCTGCCCAGAATGCACCAGGACAGGGAGGGCGGCCGTCTTGTCGCTGTCTGGTGTCTGTGGGATCACAGCTGGGTGACTGGGCAGGTGTCCCCGCTTCGGTGGCGGTCTGTAGGGGAATCTGGTGGCGTGTCTGTCTTCTCCGAAATCACTGCACAGTGGTCTCGTCCCTCAGAAATGAGCAGACATTTTCTCTCTTATTTATTGTATTTTAGAAAAAAGTTTCATAAAGTTTAAATTTTAATTATTTACTGTAGAAAAGAACTGGGAACTCAAATTGTGATAACTATATATTTCTTTTAGCAGAATAGGTGATTATAAATTAAGATATAGATGTGTCAACTGACAGGTGACACTTCAACCTGCCGCCAAAATCTCCTCTCGGTTTCGTTGAGACTCAGCCTAACCTCTGAAAGACTCAGCTGTGTTGGGGTCTGGTCAGAGGACAGTGTCTGTGTTTATGGCCAGAGACTGTGTGTCGGGGGGGCATGTGGCTGCAAGAATGCAGTGATGGGTCCCCGGTCTCTTTCCAGGGAGTGCTGAGCTTGTGTCATTGTAGCAATGGCTGGTGTTTAAGGAACACCATGAGGCTCCCGTGCACGTGTGTGAATTTGTCTGCTTGTCACAACAGAAGCACAGGTTCAATCTGCATTTTACAGAGGCCCAGCAGCATTCAGTCACCTGCCCAAGATCCCCTTAACCAGTGGCAGAGCTGTCATTTGAGTCCAAGACACTCCAGTTTGTGAACTCTTGGCCACTGTTAGCTGCCCGTGATGGTTACTCAAGTCTCATTTTTAGACCCATGTCTGTGGCCCGGAAGTCAGCCTGTGCTATGTCCCTGTCCGTCTCGCCCCTTCTCAGAGGGGTGCTGAGTGAGCCATTGAGCTGGGGTGGGGGGTTGCACATGGGGCTCACAGAGGGTTCAGGGGGGCTGGGGTGGGGACTGCGCGTGGGCCTTTGTCCAGGGACATGACACGGTCTCGGGGGCTTTGAGCACAGGGCACTGTGAGCTTAGTTGTGATTTTATTTATTTTTTATTTAATTTTTTAAAAAGATTTTATTGGGGAATTGGGGGACGGGAACAGCATTGGGGAATCGGGGAAGGGGAACAGACAAGTTGCCGTCCTTTTGTTCTTCAGTCTAGTTGTGGAAGACGTCGCTTCACTCGCCCATGTTGGTATTATCATTGTGCTCTTCCTGGGTGAGGCAGTCGCTCGCCGGCCATTGGATGGCTGCTCACGGTGGCTCTTGGCAGCTCACACCAGCTGCTGGCCGCTCATGCTGGCTGCCGGCCATTCACGGTAGCTCATGGCAGTCCACGGCAGCCCCATTGCACCCTACACCATCGCTGGCGACTCACAGCAGCCCAGCTCCAGGTCGAGCTGTTGTTCACCATCTTAGCTGAAGAGGGCAGTGTCACTGGCCCTCATGTGGGGTCTGAACCGGGGCCCTGCTGCTCAGAACTGGCGTCCCAAGTGAACTCTTAACCAACGAGCCACTCAGCCGGCCCTTAGTTGTGATTTTAAAAGGTCACCTGATGTTGCGCTGAGGACAGACTGTGGGGCCGGTGATGCAGAGACAGTGAGGCGGCTGCTGCAGCCCCGGTGGTAGGTGGGGGTGTGGGCCGGTGGGAGCCCCGGGGAAGCAGGCAGGCTCTGGATACACCTGGATGGCAGAGCCAGCGACACGATGTTGGGTCAGTGGGTGAGAGAGGCAGGTGCTGAGGACACATGGTGTGGGGCTGAGCACTTGTATTGAGACGGGGACCTTCTTTGGTCAGGTTGCATGGGAGGTGGCTCCTGCACTGCTAGGTAGGTGCTGGAGGTCGGGGCGGGGGGCACAGGTACACGGCGGGGAGCCTGGGGCATCCCCGAAGGGCCGTGTAGACAGAAGAGCTGAGCCTTGCATGCGAGGATGGGGGAGGTGAGGGCTGACTTCCCCCGGCCCTGGGCACAGGCCGGGCTCTGCCTGGCCCCTGGCAGCTGCAGTGCTTTGAGCACAGACCCGATGCTCAGGCATTTTGTGCCGCGTTCTGATGGGCGAATGTCCGTGCTTTTCACAGTCGGCTGCCGAAGGGTTATTTGGCTTCTCGAAGGATAACAACAGTGAAGCGTGGGTTTTCAGTTGTACTTCTGCGCAGGGCCTCTTAGGCCCCACTTGACCTTCAGACAGCGGGAGGGGACAGCCAGGCACTTATCCTTGGGCGGGTTGCGGCCTGGGCTGCGCGGCTTCCCCGGCGTCCCCAGCGTCAGGGGCAAGCTGGCAGCTCCCAGGGGAGGTGGGAACCAGCGAGCTTGAAGGAGGCTGGAAGTGCTGGGCTCCCGGCTCCAACCCCCTTGGACAGGACCTGACGGGGCTGGGGGCCCAGGACTCACCCTGAGGGCGCTCTGGCGGGAAGGAGGCTCTTCCCAGCAGGAGTGAGCCAGGAGCGGGGAAGCCGGCACCCAAGCGTCCCCAGGGCCGCATGGGGCCCGTGAGGGGCAGTCCCAGTGACAGCTGTGCAGCAGCCCATGGGGGAGACCGACTGGAGCGCGGAGATGGTGGCTCCAGAGGAACCGTAAGGTCCCACTGTGGGGCACGTCCTAGGAAGGGGCGCCACTAGGAAAATGAGGGGACAAAACAGAGAAGCAGAGAGAGGAGGGGC